GATAAAGCAGAATGTTCGTGTTGATTGCATAGCTAGCAAGGAATGGATTTACTAGGATAAGAACTACTCTAAGAATTGCCAGAAAAATTAGAGCATGAATGAAAAGGTCTAAGAACACCTCCAGAATTGTTGTTGTTGTTGCAATTAGCTTCAAAATTTTGATTTTGATTGTAACGATTCTGATTTTGGTAACATCCACGAAAATTGCCTCCATTGGATTAGCATTGTTGTGCATTGTAAGCATAAATTGGCGCAAAAGAGGAAAAAGATGAGGATCTTGTTTTGCGCTTTTGCAGAGAGATTTCCTTGAAGAATACCGTGAAGCTCATCAATGTTAACAGATTCAATTTTGGTTTCAATTGAATCAACAAAGGATTCATAATCATCAGGTAAACCAGCAAGTGTAGAAGCAACGAGATCAAAATCAGAAATCGATTCACCAGCAGCTGCTAATTTGTCTGAAATATCTTTGATTGAATTCAGAAAATTAGTCATTGTTAAATCGTCTGAATCTTAGCACAAAGGCTGTGGATATGCGTGCGAGAAACACGAGAAAATCGACATTCAAGAGATTGCCATAAAGATCGAGAATCAGCCATTCCAATCGTCAGAGGAATAAGATCTTCTACAAGTGTTGAACTTATCCAGATCATTAGGATTTGATCATGTTCGCACCATATCTCATAAGCAGGATTAGGAATTCGAGATCCAGAAGAATCAGAGAGACATACAGAAGGACAAACATCATCTCCATTAACAAGACCAAAAAACTTATAGCGTTTCAACACAGGCGTGAACAAGATGTGCCAGGTGATGTAGTTCTGCCGATTTAGCTTAGTCGATACCATACTGGCAATATTCTGAATAGTGATCGAAGCCAAAAAAATCAAGGAGGAATTAGAATCATCTTCAAGATGATGAAGACCAGAAGAGGTGACCGGAGGAATTAGAAGCATCTTAGTAAATGAATTGTACTAGTAAACTACGTTGCAGGCTAACTCTACGTTGTGTGATCGACACACGAAGAAAAAGTAACGTTCGAGCAGGGTTATTCGCTTGGTTTCCACATCGACAACCCCTCAAGCACAATGCTCATTTGCAAGTGGTTGGAATGCAACCTTTCATAGTCTTCATTCCGTGTTAGTAACCGACATGTGGTTAAGGCCATTTAATCACACTTGTCTTGAACTCCGTTCCAGAAAGCAGTCAAGTCCACCAACTAGTCGGAATGGTCCAAAAGTACTCTAAGTTAGACTATCGTTCCTTTTGTTGGTGGTAAAGAGCATTCCTTGACACAAGCAGTATATGGCAACGCCCTTCAGCTCTCCTCAATGGAGTGTCAGGTGATTGGCAGCTATTGGGCTGTTTTATGAAGGAAGAAGGAATACCACATTGGCGTCTCGTGAAGGTGGGTGTCGTTGGTGGTTCTAAAATAAGAAGGTTTGGGCGGTTGTCGCAGTGGGTGGAAAGAGAGTGAATATTTTGTTTCTTTGCTTTGGTGTTGTCCAGAGTTCAAAATTTCTTGCATTTATTTTGTGTGTGCCTCTCATTGATTGACACGTGTTAACAAAATGAATCATTTTTAACTTTGTTGCTATAAAGTCATACGCAAAATGAGTGCAGAAGATTTGATCCCACGTAAGTGGAGTAAAAAGGGAGAACAACATTATTTGAGCCGTTCAAAATACGACGAAAACAAGAAGATTGAAAACAATTAAACCTAGCTAGGTTTAATTGTTTTCAATTTTATAGGGGTAAATTGATGAGAGTTGAGGGAGGAAATTGGCCAAAATTAAAGTTGAGGGGGAAAATTGGCCAATCCTTGCAAGTTCAAGGTGTAAATTGATGAATACCTCTTTTCCAAATGCCTTTTAATTTAATGGGTCAATAAAGGACCTTGTGTTAACATTATTATTAGGCCCAATCTTCCATGTATTTCTGATCCAATCGGCTATATTTAAATCTCGTTTGGCAAGTAGGATTATATGGGAATAGATAACTCTCAAGTTTTAAGGTATTGAAGGTAAAAATGAATGATTTTTTTATATAGAGGAAATTAGAAGAGGATTCAACATGAATAAAACTATCCCTTCTAATCCTACCATCTTGGTGAGGATTGGAATTGATGAGTTTTCTTCGTGAATCTCATTAAAATCAATTACTTACAAATAAAGAAAAATATATCATTAAACCATAATACTAAACGGCGATAAATTAAATTATGTTTAAATGCAAAAAGATGGATCATATGTTAATGAGATTAAAAGGACACATCACCCACAATACTTGTGGCCAATAACTTCTTTAGATTTGAAAATTTTCAACATATATGCACAAATAACAAATTACTACATCAAAATTATTGATCTGTTGTAAAACTGACAGTGTGTGCAGTGGAATAAATAAACAAGACACAAAATTTACGAGATTCCTCTAAAGTCAGTGTGATTGGAGTACGTCATCGGGGCAGCAGTGGTGCTTTCATTATAATCTGGAATAATAAGATTACAAAGATAACTCTTTCTATTATCTCCTCTCTTCTTCCTTTCTTCTTTCTTCCTCTACCAACCGTATGTCTATCTGTATATATTTGCTCTCCTTCTTCTCATCCATTTTATAGACAAGGCTTTAGACAAAATTAAGGTGGGATGAACAATGAATTGGTAGTGGGATAGGTGGTCATCCACAATGAATGACCTGTGAATTACAGCATGATCATCTTAATACTGAGATATATAAGGGTAAGTGCACACTTCCTTTTAAAATTGGGGTGGATCATAAGATTCTTAAAAGTGATAATCGTCAAGAGCCAGCAAGATTAATTATTAGTTGATGAAAGTGGATAGGAAAGTTGAAGCCAACGGACAGCTGCCCTGCATTTGTACTGAGCAAAGGTCGGCAGGCACATTCCCATCCCTTTGGTTAACTTGATTGTGACAACTATCGACTCGAATGTAGATTATTCTCCCAACAGGCAATTAGTAATGTTGAGCAATTTGGGAGGGATAATGTTAGAGATACCAATTAATAACTCACTAATACTTTATAAATATAAAAATTATATTAGATACATTAATTTTTTTAAGAATTGTCTCATCTATTTTGCTTTATTCGTTAAGGAGGTAGACATCTTAATTAAGCAAATAAACTAGGCAAAAGTAACATCAGCCAGAAAAGTATAATTTTGCCTCAAACAATTGCCTACCCCTTTAGAGATGCTGACATGGGAGAAAATTTTGAGCAAAAGTAATGTACAATTAAATGGTTATGCAAATATGAAACTATCAAATTTAGGTAATTAGTGAAAAATTTAGAAGATGGTTGAAGTAAAAAATGTGAACATGTTCACTATTATCATGACGTCCACTATATGGCGTTGTGTACTTAAATTAGGATGTCACAGTGATGTACAACATACGCGTTCCTTATAAAGAGTGATGCCTTACGCCCACGAGTGTTGTACCGACATGCAAACCCTATTCCTTTATGCGAAAATCTTAACCGCTAAATTCATTATAAATGACGTTAATTAATCCCATTAAGTGAATTAAATAGTTAAAATTTGTCTACAGGCATGTAAATGTACGGGTAGTAAATATAGAGACTCATGATCCATTATTTAATGCGAAAATTACGGCATAGTGCTGCCCTAAACATGAATTTCGCATAAAATTGACCACGTGTAAACTCTTATATAATTTTACTGAAGTATTACTATTTGGATCATATTTACTTATATCTTAATATCACTCCAATGGAACAGCGTGCATCTAAACAACAAAACCATGCATAGCTACTATATAATCAACTAGATTGGACTTATATGTTACCTTCCAAAGACGGTGTTTAATCAATTAATATAGCTAGATGGATATATGCAGTTACTAGCTATGTACCCCTCACACCATCCTCTCCCCCCCCCCCCCCCCCCCCCCCAAAACCCCCAACACACACACACACACACAGAGGGTGAAATAATCAGAGTGATTTAATTGTCAGAAATTTTTTCGTGTGATTGAACTAATAATTGAACAGGTGACAACATTTAAGTGTGGTGGATTCGCGATGGGCATATCAAACCACCATGCAACATTTGACGGTACAAGCTTCGGACTGTTCTTGGACAATCTGGCTGGCCTGGCTGCGAACAGGCCCTTGGCAGTCATCATTTACAATGACGTCAGATCTTAGCCGCTCGATCCCCCACCTTCACCCACCCTGAGTTACAAGAGCTCCAGAAAATCTCCACCCTGGAGCGCAAGCAACAGGGATGAGCTTGAGATAGGCGGCCAAGACACACACCTTACAGTGTTTGAAGCTACCCAAGGGAGCTTGACTTCAAGGGATTAAGATTCTCTCCCCTACTTTTTCTATCTTGTCCTCTCATATTTTTTATTTTATCTTTCTCTTTCTATAAAAAAAAACTAATATAAGATATTGATGTAATTTAACCTTGACCGTTCATTAGTGTACAAATAAAATGTTAAAAAATTATGAGTACAAATAAAGTTTAAGAAATACGGCCACAAAAAGAAATTAATATAGGGTATAAATTAAAACTGGAAAGAAAATTAGTACAATTTAAAAAATAAAAAGGTTGCAAATTAAAAAGGGACACAAACTAACAATAGAGATATATGATATAAAGTTTAGCCCATAAATATAAATATATCAAATGTAACGTTTCTAACACTAAATAAATATATTTACAAATACAATTTAATTGAAAATAAATAAATTTAATTATCTTGATATGTAAATATTTATTATTGAAATAATTAATGACGTTATTAAAACCTAAGGACCTTGATTCAAAATTGAAAAAGAATAAGGTCTTAATCAATGGAGTATAAAAAATAAGGATGAGAACCTAATTTCTCATTTGTATTTAGAACAATTCATCCCTTGGAGTGAAGAAGACGAGCACTTTATTATTTACTTAAATAACCAGCTTTTAGTTCAAGCCACATAAGCACGTTGATAGCTAGTTGTTGCAGTTCTTGGAAAGAAAAGTATGTATTGTCAAACAAGCATGTCGAAATGCTATACCAGCTGTGCTTACACATCGATGGACTAGCTAAGCTAGTAATATCCCCAACCAGCTACGCTAAATTATTTTTATTGATTACTATAGTTGTAGTAGTAGTAGTATATATAATCATTATTTTTTCGGACTACATATATTATCGTTTAATTTCGACAACATGATCTATAGATTATATACCCGTACTTATTATCAAAGTTATCTTCTCCTTCCACCGGAGCCGCTCTCCCTTTGGCAGTTAAAATAGACGACAGACACCGGTAATCCAAGATTATAAAGCTCGGCGAAGTCTCTGGTATTGAAGTTCTGGCGCCATCCCGGAGCGTACACTGTTTGCCTACCCAATTGGCGAAACACCACCAAAACAAAGCGATGAATCCCCACTGTTGGCCGTGGACTTTCATAACACACTATCTCTTGCCCTGCATGATCAATATATATGGGTTTCATTATCAGTGTTCATGCTTGAATATAAGGGTTCCTTCATGGCAGACAATTAGCGTTTGGGTAAAATTATTACCCTGGGAGATCCTACCTAATAACAAAGCCTTCTCCGGAAAAGACCTTTACCATAGAGCTTATAGGCCCAAACGGACATTTGCGACTGAAAAAAAAATGCCCAATTTTCCTCCTCATCATGTGTCTTTTGCCACTCTTTTTGATATGAGATTTATTTAAGTTGTTCCTGCATACTTGGACGTGGTCAAAGTGAATTTAGGGTTTAGGGTTTAGAATAATATCTTTGGCAATGGGGAGTAGACTAATTTACTTATAAATCCATGTAATGTTCTTTCTTCTATATCAATGTGTGATTCATTCTCAACACGCCCCTCACATGTGACAAATTTTTCAAGCTTAACATGTGAACAACATAACGGGGTAATGTGGAGCACATGTGACCGTTTAGCTTCACACGTGGAACAACCTATTCTGATACTATAAAGAAAGTTGAGGTTGCACTGTAAAACCAATTGACAATACGAGGAGTAACCCAACTTATATATAAGTTCATGCAACGTCCTTCATCAAATCAATGTGTGATTAATTCTTAACATGATACAGGGTTTATGATTAAGATATGTGGGCTTGTTTATTGTTAACAATACAACAAAAATAATGGTTAGAAATAAAAAGTATAATTACAGTAGATTGCTCTAAAATAAACATAAATAAGAAAGAACCATATATAGTCAAATTTCAAAGCTGATCTGAAGATGCAGTAGAGACAACTAACCGAAGCTTGCCGCAGTTGTTGCTGGTATATCGGTAACCAACCTGAAACATTCGTGCAACCAGAAGTATCAGTACTACACTCCTTCCCCACTCTTGAAAGATAAACGCATAAAGGAGAAGTTGAAACCTCGCTGGCAAATTACTCTTCGTACTGTATTAAGAAGTGAGTTAAGCTAAGAAAATATATACATATCCCCGTGCAGAGAGAGAGAGAGAGAGAGAGAGAGAGAGAGAGAGCGCTACAGAATACACACCAATGCAAATATTCCTTTAGGTTGGGGTCACTTGGGCTGGGTGCATCAGGATCCACCATGACCTGCAATTAATGGAGTTAATTAATGAAACCCGTGCATGTTAATTTCATATCTTCTCAATTCTGTATGTGTGTGTGTGTGTGTGTGATGGATGTTATGGATGGATGGAAGATGGAAACTTACCAGAGTGTAGAAAGTCCTGAGATCGTCGCCACCAATATCAACTCTAGGTTGTTGGACAACTTGAGAAGGTTTGAGCTCACAACCATTGTTAACCTCCTTAGTACCGTAGGTCACCCTTAGAGAAACAGACCTTGTGAAGGGGTCTAAAACATCACCAACCACTCGTCCAACAACAAGGGGGTCCCTATCCCTAGGCATTTTCTTTCTTTTGGAGAGAGAGACAGAGAGACAGAGATATATATATATATATATATATATATATATATATATATATATTTAAAAATATTTGGTACTACTAGCTATCCGGCCAGATCAATGTGTGTATGTATATGTAGCTAAAACTCAAAGCATCCAAGTAAGAGCAACTCCACCTCTAAAGACTTTGCGCCAGCACTCAGCCCATTTATCCACTTCAGTGAACAGTAATAGACCCTAATGAACAGTAATAGGCCAAAGCATCTCCACCCCAAAAAAAATATGCTAGCACCCAGTCTAAAAATGCGCTGGCACAAACGATCTCCACCTCTACAAAATGCGCTGGCACCCAGTCCATTTAAAATATTAAATAATTTTTTTATAAAATAATAAATAAATAAAATAGTTTTAATTTCGGATAGGATTTTTAACCAATCTCGTCACGCCACGTGTCATTATCCGAACGTACTATTTTGTGAATAGATTTCCGCTAAGATTTTCAACCAATCCCGACAACCCACGTGTCACTTCCTGTTTACAATAATTTAGGCAAGATTTCGATAAGATTTTTAACCAATCTTGTCACGCCACGTGTCATTATCCGAACGTACTATTTTGTAGATAGATTTCTAATAAGATTTTCAACCAATCCCGACACGCCACATGTCACTTTCTGTTTACAATAATTTAGCCAAGATTTCAATAAGATCTTCAACTAATCACGTAGTGCCACGTGGCATTGTCCAGAACCTCATCTTCTCTTTTTTTGTCCATATAAACCCTACATCCCTACATCCATCCTCACACTAAACTCAATCCTTTTTTTTAGCTCAGAATTCTTCTTTATCGTTTTCAAATCTTGAGTTCTTACAATGTCTTCTTCAAGGAGAGCGTATAAACAGTTGCAAGAGTAGTAGAAAAGGTTGTTGGCACAACAGGAAGAATTGGTCAATCTTGACCAAGGTGGAGGTGGAGATGAGGCCTTCGCAATGGAGGAGGATGAGGATGATCACCATAGAAGGCGGAGGGCCTCACATTCCCGCCATGTCATGGAAGCTGTGGGTCAGATAGCCAAACCCAGACGTGCGGCAAACATCGATAGAAGAAGGGAAATACGAGGTAAAGATATCTTGGAAGATTATTTTATTCCCAACAGCGTTCTCCTTGATCATGTTTTTAGACGTCGTTTTAGAATGCAACGAAGTTTGTTCGATAAAAGCATGAGTGATGTTTGCAACCATGATCCATAATTTGTGCAAAAAGATGATGTTTTTCATGTTCTAGGTCTTTTTCCTGAGCAAAAAATTATGGCTGCCTTGCGAATGCTTGCATATGGAGCATCTGCAGATCAAGTGGATGAGATCGCAAGGATGGGAAAAACAACAGTTCTGGAGTCTCTGATGCGGTTTTGCTCTGCAATTGAAGCCCTCTACACCAATGAGTACCTTCGGAAACCCACGCTAAGGGACATGCGAATGCTTCTAAGGAAGGGTGAGATGCGAGGCTTCCCCGGCATGATTGGAAGCATCAACTGCATGCACTGGACATGGAAAAACTGTCCAAGTGCATGGCAAGGAGCTTATGGCGACAGAAAAGGAGCCAAAAACATCATTTTGGAAGTGGTGGCTTCTTTTGATACATGGATTTGGCATGCTTTTTTTGGTGTTCCAGGAGCTCAGAATGACCTAAATGTCCTTGCCCAATCTCCAGTGTTTGACGAACTGCTACAAGGAAATGAGCCGAGATGCACATATTGGGTTAATGGTAATAAATACGAGGGACCATACTACCTTGCAGATGGTATTTACCCAAGGTGATCAACATTTGTCAAAACAGTGCCACATCCGCAGAGTGAAAAAGAGAAACACTTCGCAAATTGTCAAGAAGGGTGTAGGAAGGATGTCGAGCGTTGTTTTGGTATCCTGCAAGCTCGTTGGGCCATTGTCAGGGCTGCAACTAGAATGTTTGATGTCGAGGCTCTTCGATCCATCATGATGACGTGTATTATTCTCCATAACATGATTGTTGAAGACGAGTATGATTATGATGCCGTCGATGAATACGAGCCGGATCCGATGAACAACTCAAGAACACAAATCTACTATGCTCATGACCGGACCGAAGATCCCGTGCAACACGAGCCGTTGGAACGGGATGGACGTTACAATGAATTGATCGTTCAGCGGTACACTTCATTGCAAGAGCCATACTGGCACATAACCCGCTAGAATGACTTGATTGACCATCAGTGGGGATTGCACGAAGGCGAAGATAATTAAAATAAGGCTTGTGGTTAAAGAATAAAGTGTATTGTTTTTTAAGTAATCTTATTTAGTGTGTTTTTTTTTTTTAAGTTTATATCGTGAGGTTATGTAATTTTATTTGGTGTTTTTTTTTTAAATGTTTATTTGGTGAGTTTATGCAATCTTATTCAAATATTTAAATAAAGTACAAAAATTACATAAGAAATTAAATAAAGTTCTAACAATAAATAAGAAATTACATAAGAAATTAAATAAAGTTCTAAAAATGTTAAGAAATTACATAACAAATTAAATAAAGTAGTACAAATAAATACGAAATTATACAAAGTCTATGGAGTTAGGATATGTGGTGCTAGGATCTTGGTTGCTAGGATTTCTGTAGCTGGAACCCCCTTGACTTGTTTCGGCATCTCTTGCACGCCTCCTTCGCACGACATCTCTTGATGTCCAAAAATATTTTGAATTCGAAGACAGTCCTACTAGAGACTTGTTCATAGTGTCACGATCTATTTGAGCCATCATTTCTTCTCTAAGCATCTCATTCTCTCGATGAAGTGCTTCTCTAATCATCTCGTTCTCTCGATTAACTATTTCTCTTTGTCTCTCAGCCGCCACATCACGAGCCTCAGTAGCTGCTATTATTGTTGTCATAGTAGTAGCTTTTTCCTCATCTCTAGCCTTTTCCCATGCCATGTTCAGTTCACCTTGACGAGCAAGTTCCTCCATATATTTAGTGTAGTCATTTTTGGAAGAACTTCCTTTTTTCTTTGATGCCTTTTTACCTTGAGGCCTGAGGGACTGACGAGTCGGTTGGGTCTCTGGCACTTCTTTAGGCGTCCCTTCCGTGTCTTCAAATGTGTTGGCTTCTTGTTCGGCTGTGTCTGATTCTGGCGAACTGTGTAGACCCATACCGTGCATGACAACTTCTGGACCGGTTGCCACAATTTTGTATCTAGGGCAATCTTTGACAATTTGCCAACATTCCCATTTGTTGAATGATTTGTTACGGTTCTTTGCATTGTAGAATGTTTGTGCTTGTAGTGTCTATAAAAATGTGGGATAAGATAGTATTAAAAAATACGGGTGTAACACAAATAAATAAATTAAAATATTGATGGGCGTGGAATGCATACAAATTACATAAGAAATTAAATAAATTAAAATATTGATGTGGGTGTAACACAAATAAATAAATTAAAATATTGATGGGCGTGGAATGCATATAAATTACATAAGAAATTACATAGAAATTACATAAGAAATTAAATAAATTAAAATATTGATGTGGGTGGAATGCATATAAATAAATAAAAATATTGTTACCTGATCCGCTAAACTTGTCCCACTACGCAGATTACCAGAAGCATGAGAGATGGCGTTTTTCCAACAAGTAAAGGATGCGTTAAGTTTTTTCCAACGACCTTGACTAGATCTGGCATCTTTTCCATGTACATCGCAAAACGATTTCGTAATTTTACTCCATATTTCTCGCTTATCCATCTCATTACCCATAATCGGGTCCTGAGTAGTGTGAACCCAACATTCACACAACGTAACATCTTCAATGAGCTTCCACGAAGTCATTTTTTTCTCTCAAAGTGTACAAAATATTCAAATGTAGAAAGTGTAGAAAGTGTAGAAAATATTGAAATGTGGTGTAAGGTGGAAGATGAGGGTTAGGTATTTATAGAAAAATAAAATTAATTTTTTAAAATTTTTCTGTATTTTTTAAAAAAATTTCACAATTTTTAATTAATTTTTAATAAAATTTAATGTTGTAATTAATTTGGACCGTTGGATTTGAAAAATAATCAAATCCAACAGCCAACCAGAGCCACGTGGCCAACGGTCAAAATTCTGACCGTTGGGCCTTTTTTTTTTTTTAAATTTTATTTTTGGTGAAAAAAACGTGGACCGTTGATCTGTGATCGGACGGTCCATTTTAAAAGTCAAATTTAAAAATTTTTTACCGTTGGAAATCCAACGGCCTACAAAAACTAGCCGTTGGAAATCCAACGACTCTGAGGAGGGCCACGTAGCCCTCAGCTGTTCGAAGCCAAGTTGGCCTCAGACGCGGGCCCCGCCGCCTGCAACGCGGTCTCCTACTCGCGCCCAGTCGCGAGTGTTGTGCACGCGCCAGCCTTTTGGACCGGCTTTTGGGTCTGTCCGAAATGGGCTGGCCTGCTGCCTGGCTTGGGCTGGGTGCCAAGCTGTTTTGCGAGCTGGAACTTTTGGACAGGGTGCCAGGCTGTGTTTTGGACTAGGTGCTGAGCAAGTCCACCTCCGGTGGAACTGCTCTAAGCTGTGACTTTAGATATTGAGAATTTGGTGATCAAAATCATGAGGCCTATTGACTATTTATATTCTGTTGCATTGCATGTTATATTGCTATTTTCCCAGTTAGCTTTTGTTTCTGGGCACTCAATGAAAGATTCTGCTCCAGCCATATATCAATCGCTCTTTTCTTTTTGCCTTTTGCTCTCTTGATATTTTTATTATATTCTTTTGATTCTTACTAAATTCCTCTAATACCAAAACACGGGGATTGGCCATTGGCCATTGGAGATATGCCCTTCCTCTTTCATCCACCCTAAAGTCAAGTAGGACCACCAGTTTTTATTCCCATTTGATCAGTTTATGCGTTGTCGGTCCAAAGCTCCCTCATCATCGTCCACCTTGTCAAAATCTTCTCTGTCCCTCCAAAAGAAAGAAAATTCTATAAAGTTACCATTTAATTTCCAGATACATATATGTATATACACTAAAACAAACAAGAACTATTAAAAAATCTC